AAAGAGTGCAAGCAGTTAAACTGACCCAGTTCGTGACCCAGGGGACACTCCTAGGGCCGGCAGTGCCCTCATTTGCTCTTTCTGTTGCAATGGTTGTAGGGGAGCAACTAAAACTCCTACCACCCACCCCAGAACTCCTGCTTGGAGGTGATTCTTGCACAGAGTTGGGTGAGGCCTTCAAGGTTATCTTATTCAACTCCCTCAAATTAAGGAGGGGGACACTGAGGCCCAAACAGGTGAAGGAAGATACCCAGGCCATACAGTAAACTTGCTGGGGAGATGCTTCGGGGCACCGAACTCACGGGCAGGGAGAAAAACAAGCATCTTACCGTCATCCAAGTAGGTCTGGTCCAGGTTCTGCTCCTGTTTAATTGTCACGCCCGCGGGTAATACTTCCTTTTGGTCACTGACCGGAGGTCCGTTTTTGGCGGCTCTTTGGCTTGTGGCATTCTGCTGCTGAATGACCGTCGGGTAGGAGCCCGGGCTCAGCCTCTGACCTTGACTGACAGGGGGTGGGCCGGGCCTGGTGGGGCCGGGCGCGAAGTTCTCGCAGTACACGATGTGCTGGAACTCCTGGTGGCTTCCGCAGCGCAGCTGCTGGTTGGTGGGCGAGTAGTGGATCACCGGTGAGGCCTGCTGGTTGGCTGGACTGGAGTGGAGCAGGGCCGAGCTCTGGCCCTGGGAGCCAGCGTGCACTAGCACGGAGCGGTGGGCATCCGCGAGGGACAGGGGGGCGGCCATGAGGGCCGGCTGCTGGTAGCCCAGCAGGCTGGGGCTCAGGCTCTTGCTCCGCTGGTAGAGGACGGCCGCTGGGTTCTGCTGCTGGTAGCGAGCGTCGGGGGATGAGAGCCCCGAGCGGAACTGCTGGCAGGGAGCCATGGTGGCCACGAGGCAGGAGGGGGACTCGGCCACCATTGGGTGCTGTGGGTAGTAAGGCTGGCTCCCCAGGCCCCCGTGGGCAGGGCTGCAGATCAAGGTGGGGTCGTATTCATCAGTGGGCTCCGTCTTGATGGCTGGGACTGAGAGAAGAGAAAAGCACATGGGGTGCACCATTCTTAGTGCCACAGGGGTGCACAGAGGATTAGCAGACAGCGGTTAGGAACAGGGCCTTAGGAGTCCACAAGGGTGGGATCAAAGATCTAGGCTCTGTCACTTATTAGCCTTGGGCAAGAGGCTCCCTGTGCAATTGTCTTAGGTTAGAAATTTTACCCTGGGTGATGATCTTGAACTATAGGTCTTTCTGACAGTGCAAAAGTGGCTGGTGGGTCTGTGTCAGCCCTTGTGCAGCCTTTGTGCCCAGGGGGAGAGCTCGGGGAAGAATGCTTGACGTAAAATTACACCTCCGCCGCCGCCTCCTGCTCTAGCAGCCCCAGCCCCCTCCCCTGCTTGCCGTCCTTCATCATACTCACCACCGGCTAAAGTATCTGTGCACTTTACGTGCTCACTTATTATCTGAAACCCCCACTGGAATGTCAGCTCCTCAAAGCGAGGATTTGTTTCAGTGCTGGATCCCCAGCACCTAAAACCGTACCTGGCCCTTAATCGGCACTCAGATATTTTCCGGACAAAGGAATGACCAAACGGTGACTGTCGGCCTCCTTAGTTTTGTAGTACTTTGGGGGAATGAGGCCTGCTGGCTTGGGCCTCAGTTTCCCCATCTGTTAGCTGGCAGGAACAATCATACCTACCCCATGGGGTTGTGGGCAAGATTAAATGAGATATGTGTGCCCTGTACGCACAGTGACTGCACACAGTAAGTGCTCAATGCTTGCTGTTGTTGCTACTATCACTATTACTACTGTGAGTGTTGGTGAGGTCACCGTTCCTCTCTCCCCGCCCAGGACAGTCACCAGAATTTGTACTTCTCCGACGTCCTTTACCGAAGCATCACCAGGCCCAGGAACTGAGGAATCAGATTTCTTTTCACTTGAGTAAATGAATTGGTGACAGGACCGTAATCAAATTGGGCGGGGCGGGGGGGGGGCTCCCAAATGCTGGGGGCTGGAGGGGTCAAAGGAGTTTCAGCATCTACAGCAAAAACGCAGCTTTGACTCCAACTTCTCAGGAAGCCACTCAAAGACCGTCTCCAGGTACCTGGGCCTTGAGTTCTCACTCGAGCCAAGTTCAGGCAGGTGAGTGCTGATGCCCAGACCCAGAGAGGCCTCATCGCCATGCAGGAGGGGCGACAGCACGTGACACATAATTGAAAACCTCTATGTTACAAAGGATCGTTGAACTGCGGTCCAGAGCCCTCCCAGAGATTCTCCCCCAGTTCTGGGTCCCGTTAGGCCTTTGCCACTCACGGCATGGTACACCAGTCGTGGGACAATGGAACACTCACAGTGCCACACAAACCTGTGGACGCACGCACCCCACCCAAGCCAGGCCCTCACTTCTGTGCTGCCGGCAGCCCAGAGGCTCCATGTGAAACTGTCACAGGTTGGAAATTACACCCTGGCTGACATTCTCAGATTGTAGATTTCCTGGAAAGGCTGCTGGCAGGCCTGTCTCAGCCTTGGGAAGTTTGTAGCCTCTTTCTGCAGCCCTAACCACAACACAACATATCAGTAATATCAGTATTACTTATTATCTGAATCCCCTCCCATCAGTATTATCTTTCATCTGAATCCCCTGTTAGAACATCGGCTTCAGGAGGGCAGGGATTTTTGTTGTGTTCACTCTTGTGTCTCCAAGCTAAAACAGTGCCTGGCACTCAGATATTTTCTGGACAAACGAATGAATGCAAAATGGCTCTCGTCGCCCTTCTTAGGACTGTAGTGCTTTGTGAGAATGAGGCCTCCTGGCCTGGTTATCCACCCAGCAACTCCATTTGGCCACCAGGTGACCACCTGCTGTGGGGTCCCTAAGATTCCGCATTTTAGGGCATATTCACCTTCTACCCCTATTGTGATCAAATCTAAAACAGGGATAGGAGTCATCAGTTTTACCACCTGCTGGTGAACAAGTCTACATGTGCCCCATCATTATTCTGCCCTCGCAAGAAAATATTAATAACAACAATAGCTAATATTGTTGATGTGTGCCATCCTAAGCACTTTATGTGCATTTGATTTATATAACTCTTATAAGGAAGGTGCCATTTGACAGATGAGGAAACAGGCTCAGAGAGGCTGAGTCACCTGCCCTAGGTCACCCAGCAGATCGCGTGCATCCTCACCCAGAGGCCGATGCTGCCTCTCCACACACAGGGGGCCTTCGGAGAGAACTTCTTACCTGGATGGTAGGTAAAGTGCTGAGGCTGACTTCGTTTTCTTTTCCCATTAATGACGCAGAAGTTCACCTTCACTGATGTCCGGATGTGCTTGTTCCGATACTCAGGGATCTCGACGAAAAGCATGTTCTGAAAGAAAGGAGTTGTCAATAATTTAACTGCAACCACATCTAAATTGCCATCCAAGGTCCTAAGCACAGTGAACCAGCCCATCTAGAAGGACTCGTGGTGGGGAGGGATAAACTGGGAGTATGGGATTAACAGGTGCACACTACCATGTATTCAGTATAAAACAGGTAAACAACAAGGAATATACTGTATATTACTGTATAGCCCAGGGAACTATATTCAACATCTTGTAATAACCTATAATGGAAAAGAATTTTTAAAAGAAGAATATTGATACATACATATACATGACCGAATCACTTTGTTGTACAACTGAAACAAACACAATATTGTAAACCAATTATACTCCAATAAAAATAAAGAAATAAATAAAAGTAAAAGGACTCGTGACACGTTCCGTACATTTACAGGCAAAATTCTAATTAAGCGGAAGTTGACTTTTCAGCTGCAGCGAAGAAAGACTTACCACTTACTCTATCAAGGTATATGAAGATGTCACTGCTACAAATCAAAAGGGCGTGGTGCTCAATAAACGTGTAATTCATTCATCAATTCAATACCCACTGAGTGCCTTTTAGGTCCAAAGCACTGGGACTTTGATGAAGGAAGAGGAAAGAAGTGGGAAAGAGAGCACGAGGGAGGTGGGGGAGGGGAGGACAGGGCGTCCAGTCGTCGCGTCCGCGTGCTTACAGGCTGGCTCTTGTCTTTATCCACCGTGGCCTCCATCTCCCAAATCTGCTGCCCATCTGGAAAAATTTAAAAATGACAGACTTTGAAGGAACTATTAGCAACTGAGAATTTAAGACAAAAACTCACCAACTTATACATATCTTGGCTTACGTGTTAGATGATTTCAGTAAAGTACACCTGCGCGTTTGCATTATGTATGCATAGATGTACCTATATGTATTTTTATTTCTATAAATGCATATTTCTTTTTGCAAAGAAAAGGCACCTTGACAACAGAAAACTGGGCAACAATACAAGATAAGGGAAAAAAGAGAAATTGCCCATTGTCCCAATACCGTTATTTTTTTTCTCTATATTTGAATGTCCACATATCTTTCTTTCTTTAAAAAAAAAAAAAAAGTATTGTTATATGCTTTACTTGCTAATACGCTTTGTTCAACCAAAGACTATTTCCAAAACACTCTGCATCTGCCAAGACTGTCACAGGGGCCCCATTACAGATCCCTGGCTGTCCCAGACATGTTCTTCATTGTCTGAGAACACAGGTGGCTCACATACTCTGTCCTAAGAGGCTTAAACAATGTCCTGGCTCGTGAGGCCTTGGAGTGAGTGGAAACACAGGCACCCACCCTTCACCTTTCAGTCAACAGAGAGCCTGGCTCTCATGTGACTCATTACAGCAGGCGCTGAGAGGTTTGCTCAGGGGTAAACCCTCCTCCCCTGGAGCAGGGCACTGGTTCCCCAGTTCGGGGCCAACAAGTTGGGCCAAACAAAACTCTGCATTTGCAAATAATAGATTTTTTTTTTTTGCTGACCACCTACATCGGCCAGTGGCAGTTTTCGGCTGAAACAAATCATTTCCACAAGTGTTTCCAGGGTGTTTTGTGGAACACTCGCTCTGAAGAATATTAAATGGATTTATGAGCAAGGAAAGCAAGTTCTTCCAGCTAGTAAGAATTTGGAGAAGGCGGAGTCAGAGTCAAGTGGGTTTCTTTACTGCAGGATTTCTCAGAGCCTTTGATCTGCTCAGGTGCCGCATTAACTCTCCAAGGTGGGCTGGGGATGTATCATGTCCCGACATTTAGCCAAAGCGTCCCGCCTCTTTGTAAGCACGATTAGCAGCCTCTGTGACAGGTTAGAATTGAACGCATATAGTCTCAGCTCTTAAGGTTCACCCGAAGAAATCTGGTTTCTAAGCATTATTTGAACTTGTATAGGACGTATTTCCCAAAATAATAACTAATAAAAGGTCTTGTGATTGCTAACAGAGCTAATGCAATCTAGATGATCTGAAGAAAGAACAAGGACTGAGCCAGTTGGAGCCTTCCCCAACAAGTCAGTCTGCAAGTCTTGGCCTTACAGTTCTATTCAGTGCAATCCCTGAAATGACTAAGGAAGACACAGCTTTACGTCCAAAGGGAAAAGGAAAACATGGTTAGTGTACCAACTCTCACTATGGTGTGAGATTCCCTGAGGGAGGGACCAAGTTATCGCTGTCACGGTCTCCCCAACACCCAACATACTGTAGGTGCCGAGTAAACATCTCACGTCTGAGCATACAAAAGTGTCAGCAGCTCCAAAGGCTGCTGATGGGGCCAGGATAAAGCCAGGAGCTGACACCAGCCACTGCTCAGACGGAAGCAAGAAAGGATACACGGATAGATGTCAAGGAATTTGAAGTTAAGTCATCAAGATAGGGTATTTCCAGTGTGTAAAGCCCTGGAAACAGAACTCTTCAGAGAAAATCCTCATTTCTTTATCAAAGACAGGTCAAAAGTCATCCAACAGAGACACACGTCCCCCTCTCAGGTGGTGGTACGAGCTAGGCACGGGTCCTCATCAAAAAACCACGTCTCGGGCTTCCCTGGTGGCGCAGTGGTTGAGAGTCCGCCTGCCGATGCAAGGGACACGGGTTCGTGCCCCGGTCCAGGAAGATCCCTCATGCCGTGGAGTGGCTGGGCCCGTGAGCCGTGGCCGCAGAGCCTGTGTGTCCGGAGCCTGTGCTCCGCAACGGGAGAGGCCACAACAGTTAGAGGCCCGCGTACCGCAAAAAACAAACAAACAAACAAAAAAACATGTCTCTATTCACTAACTGCAGTGCAAGCTCTAAGTCAGAAGATCAAGTAATAAATTAATTGAGGAAATGAACAGCATGTCGACGACTGGCGTGTCACCCACCCCCAGCCTCTCAGTGGCCGAACTGAGTTCTGCCATTGATGGTACCATGGCTCTTTGGGTTTGGTTCATTACCATGTATGAGCATCACTCACTTAGAAAAGAAAGGACCATTTTCATGTCTCAAAATTGGGAGGAGAGAGCAAGAAGTACCCAGAAACGTGATTGGGAAATATTAAGCTGGGTCCATAAAGCTGCCACGCAGCTCTCTTCCTTGACTCACGCCAATAAGTGGGAGATGCATAGAAAATACAAAATGACGGTGCGATGAAAAGGGTGTCAACCATGAGGAGAGTCCTCAAAGTCCCTTCTCCTGGTCTAAGGACCCAAGAGAAATGGAAAGGAGCCCTTCTTCCCAAATTTGACACTTGTCTCCATCTCCGGTGAGCATACATAATACACAAAACACCACCCAGCAACAGCCACAGAATTCTAGGGTACAGGTGCTAGACAGTAGCCTTAAAAATTCGCCAGCCAAACACCATCAGATAGAAAAACTGAGGCCCAGAGAAGGAAGGGGGGTTGTCCAAAGACATGCGGTAGACAGTTATTAAACCAACAACTGGCACAGTCCAATAACAAAGGGAATGCTTTCAAGGAAGGAAGCTGAAGGTTACTAAGCAGAGAGAAGATGCCAGCTTCCTGGGAGGCTGGAGAAAGGTCCTACATAGGGACGATCTTTTTATGTCGTATCTACCGCATAGGTTCACGCACATCTTCTCAAACCTTTCCCTGCTTCCCCTGTGCCTCCAGAAATACCATCTAAAATCCCATGGCGGCCTTGAAGGCCCTGCCCCACCTTGCTCCTGCCTCCATTCCAGCCTCTTGGGGCACCATTCTCACCCCTCCTACTCCTTTTTTTAAAAGCCAATTGGCCTCACCCCAGAGCTCTGGCTTGTTTTGTGGCCTATAGAGTGGCTTAGCGGCTTTTTAATTAGCTGCTGCCATTTCAAAATGAGATTTCACCAGAAAATGAAGTTTTTGCTCCTGAAAAAAAAAAAAAAAGAAAATTCAGATGATCTGGCCGTTCTGGGCACCCCCAACAGGAACTGGACCACGGCGGCCTCTCCAGATGGTGCTGCAGGCGCCACTGCAGCACAGCCCCCTGCCCTGGCCCGCACGTCTCCCATCTACCTTCCAGGCCCCACCTTAGTGGACCTTTGAGAGACAGGTACCTCTCCCCACACCGTGACGAGGGGAACTTGTCAGGGTTCTGCAGAAAGGCCCTCCACTGGGATGTGCCCGAGGTTTTCTCAGGACTGTACGACATTTTGGCCAGAAGAGGCCACCGCCCAATATCATCTCAGGCAGCGTCCCACTCTGCTGCTGTATACCGCCCCCCCCCCCAAAAAAAAAAA